GTTGTTTGAAGCAGGTGTTTGGGGGTGGTGTGATCTTCCCCCAGACCTTCTCTGGGTAGACTCCAGAAAGAAGAATCTGAGAAAGGCTCTGAATGAGAATGGAAAAGATAAGTTTTGAGTAAGAATGTTCAGAAACAAGGATAATAATAATTATTATTATTTTTATTACAATAGCTAGCACTTACATAGTGATAATAATGTGCCAGGCACTGTGCTATGCCCTTATAAAAATTATCTCATTTGATCCTCACAATAACCAGGGAGGGAGGTACTATTATTATCCCCATTAACCTCCCCCAGAGGTTAAATAACTTGCCCAAGGTCACACAGCTAGTAAGCATCTGAGATCTGATTTGACCTCAGGTCTTTCTGCCCCTAGGTCCAGGGCTCTATCCATTTCACCACCTAGCTGCCTCTGAGCAAGGAGCAAGGAAGGAGGATCTGAAACTTTGATGTGATGTTAACACTGCAAGGCTGAAGAGAAAATCTTGATCCTATAAGTCATGGTGCTTATTAGGTGAATAGATGTCCCTAAAATGCAGGGGCTGCCCTGTGTCCCTTCATCCCCAGAGCAGTTGTAGAGAAACTCAGAAGTCCAGAGAATCACTCTGTGAATTATATTTTTGAATTAAGTTATTGATTAGTAATTTATAAGGTTAAGGTTCTTAGCCATTTGTCTAGAGTTGTTGTTGTTTATCCTTTGTTCTTGAAGAGGACCAATGATATCTTGAGGGTCACATCCTGACTTGTGCGTGAATTGGATTTAAGTAAGGCAGAGTTGGGCAAAGTCATCAGCCTCACTCTCTCCTCTAGAGTTATCTGAATCCAGCAGCAAGACAAAGGTCAAGATAGCTGGCAACTGCCTGGGATGCAGTGAGTGACTTTGGTCTTTCTAACTTAAAGTCTTTCTTAAGGTCTGACTTGAAACTTAAACTCTTTTCAAAGAACAAGAGGAAGCAACTTTGGAAAAAGAACCCTGTTTGAGAAAACTTTGGGATTACTGCTAAACTAGGTTTTAGGAAAATCTTCCTATGGACCGGTTGTGCTTTCTGGGATGGCTTTAAGATAAGGCAAGCCCATAAACTACATGCACCCCCTTCCTAAAATAGAAACTAACCCTCAGAATAGTGCTCATCCATTCCCCACAATTTTATGTTAAAAGCCTGTCTTGTTCCCAGCTCCGCCTGTAAAACAGGAATTCTTAACCTAGGGCCAAGGGGGATTATGAAATTGGACCTTTTAATATTTTGATAACTATATTTTGACATCATTGCTTTTAAAATATTTTGATAATTGTATTTAATTATAATTGGTTTCCTTCTTAATTCTCTATATTTTATTTTATACATTTAAAAGCATTATTCTAAGAAAGGGTCCATGGGCTTCACCAGACTGCCCAAGTGGTCCAGGACACAAAAACGGTTAAGAATTCCTGCTGTAGAAAATAAAGCCCAAACCTACCCAGCAAAACTGAGTATAATTCTTCAGGGTAAAAAATTATCATTCAATGAAATAGAGGACTTTCAAGCATTCCTGTGGAAAAGACCAGAGCTGAATAGA